TCTCATCATTATTTGTTGTCTTGGCTTTCAACATGTAATGAGGAGACCAATAATTCAAAAGTGTTAGCAAAGTGGTGAGGTCCCTAAATTTGACCAAGCTCTAGCATTATAGCTACAACTTGTTGGGTGTAAGAAAGGTTATCACAAATAGTATCAAATTATTATGTTCCAAAAAAGTTTTCATAAATTATGATAATACAACACGAGTTTTTATTCTTATATCAGGCTTTGTTTGAGACAATTTTTTAAGTGCTTTCTAAAACAACTTTCTAGTACCAAAAAAAAATTATACTAAAAGCTGTTTTAAAAAACAATAAAAAGAAGCCTGGATCGACTTTTTCATTGTTTTCTAAACAGAATATTAGCTTGAAATTTTTTATTTTTGTACTAAAATTTTATTTTAACAAGCAATAAAAAGGTTGTCCCAAACGATGTCATAGTTAAGAAGTTCAACTTCAACTATAGTAGAGAAGAGCAAGATTTTTAAATGTATAGTTGCCCGAGAGAAAATCATGGCATCTTGACTAATTATAAAAGTCTATTATTTATAATAGTCTAATAAGGTTGGTCCATATAAAGTAATTACAAGGGCATCTATTGTTGCTGCCAACCCTAATTGCTGGTTGTGATGTGGCAGTAAATTTATCTTGCACTGCCTGTTCAGGTTTCTCCTTGGCAAGCAACCTCTGGACTTATAATGGGAGGAAGAGACAGCCTATTCAAATTGATTCAATCAAATTTGAGCTAATTAGTTTGGCTAATTCGTGCCAGTCAGGCCACAATTTGAGTATCTGAGAGACTGGGGTTCAGTGCGATGCATCGAACCATGTTTTGAGTATTTTAGCTTATTAATTGAGGTTTCATTTGGAACTGTTTTTTTACTACTTCTCAAAGCAGTTTTTTAATATAAAAATCTTAATTTATTACAAAAAAATTACTTTAAGAAGCAATAAGAAAATCGTCCCAAACGAAATCAGAATCTAAGTGAATCGGATTGGGCATTGATTTGATACGAGTTTTCTCAAGATGAATATAGAACTTATGCTAATGCAACTCATCTTAATTTGTTAATTGATAGCTTAGGCTAACAATCAAAATGTCTTGAATTCAAAACTTGAATATATTATGAGTGTATTAATTTGCATTAATTCGCTCCAAATTTCAAAAAAAAAATAAAATAAAAAAATAATCTTTATTGACTAAACATTTTATAATCATAAAAAAAGCATTAGGATTTACAAAGAAATTCAACCAAATTAAAATGAGATGATAAAGCTGATAATGTTCGTCTTCAGTGTCCTACAAAAAAAAACACTTTTTTTGGAAAAATAAAAGAAAAGAGAACTACGCTGCTGTCATATTTATAAAATTATCATCATAAATATTAAAAAGGACTGGTTAAAAATACCGCAATAAAAATAGTTAAAAATAAGTACATAATTGATATGTCATCAAAAAATTATCCTGATTGGGAACGAATCTCGAGGCAAAATCAAGCATGAAACTTCAAAAATTAAATCCGGGATCAACTGAATTTTGATTTCAACAAACTTATAGTCAAATTAAGCGTCTCGGAAATACGAACCCAACAACACTAAATTCAACTCGATCTGAGCCAAAATGAGTATGAATCGAAGACCCGAAGCCTTATTGGAAAGTTCAAACCACAATTTGGATTACCAAACGGTTTCCAAACATGACATGATTATAGCTGAATCGAGCGGCTCGACGAGACAAATCTAACGAGTCCAATATCGCCAAATTCCAATATCATGAAGACCTACAAATGTCTGACAAACAGCCCACGATCAAGGGATTCAGTATCGACCGTCCATCCGAACCACTCCACCTTTGCCCTTGATCCTCCTATTTACGGGTCATGTCATCCTCAAAAAACTATAAATAGCCCCTCATTTCTTTTGAGAGGGGACCCAAGGAAGAAGAAGAGAAGAGTAGGAAGAAAGAAACTCCTCCTCGACTACCGTCGGAATTCTACCCGACTTCCACAGGACGCCAGAATTCTACCCGACTTCCACAGGACGTCGGTATTCTACCCAACTTCCACGGGACACCAGAGTTCCTCCCAACTTTCAAGTGACGTCGAAACTCTTCCCGATCTCCAAGTAACGCCAGAATTATGTCTGATCTCCAAGTGACTCTAGAATTTTGTCGAATACCATCTAACGCTAGAGTTCTCCCCGGCTGTCAACTGATGTCAGACTTCTACCCGATGCCTGACCTCTGCTCGTCACCAGATTTCTACCCAATGCCAGACTTATGCCAGTAGTCGGGTTTTCCCAGGACTTCATTTTTGGAAGAGGATAAGCTTTAGGAAGATTCTAGAATTTTTTAGAATTTTCTGAAATTTTTTTGAATTTTTTTGAATTTTATGGAATTTTTTTAATTAAAAAAATTAAAACAAAAACCGCCGGCTAAACCGCACGCCTGTTCGCACCGCGACGGGCGGTGGCCGGCCAGTTCGACCGCCAATGCTTGTTCGGGGTCGATTTTCGACCCGGACAGTCCAAATCAAACATTTTTGTGTTCCCCTAATAAGTTTTTCGACATTCCGGACTTAATTTTGATACTTTCGGAGCTCAAGAGGACCTCTATGATCAAGTTTGAGCAAATTTTTAATTTTTGGAACGTAATTTTTTGCTATTTGGCCAATGTAAAATATCAAAACATATATTTTTGAACTTCTGGAGCTTTGACATCCAAAAATAAGAGGGCAACTGATATGTAATCAAAAAATTATCCTGCTTAGGCACGAATCTCGAGGCAAAATCAAGCTGGAAACTTCAAAAATTAAATCTAGGATCACCTGAATTTCGATTTCAACAAACTTACAAACAAACTAAGAGTCTCGGAAATACGAACCCAACGACACCAAATTCAACTCGATCTAAGCCCAAATGAGTCTGAATCGAAGACCCGAAGCATTGTTGGAAGATTCAAACCACAATTTGGATTACCAAACTGTTTCCAAACATGACATGCTTATAGTCGAATTGAGAGGCTCGACGAGACGAATCCAACGAGCCTAAGATCGCCAAATTCCGATATCATAAAACCTTCAAATGTCTGAAAAACAACGCATGATCAAGGGATTCAATATCAGTCGTCCATCCGAACCACTCCACCTTTGCCCTTGATCCTCCTCCTATTTACGGGTCATGTCATCCTAAAAAAATTATAAATAACCCGTCATTTCTCTTGAGAGGGGGCCCAAGCAAGAAGAAGAAGAGAATAAGAATAAGAAGAGAAGAGTAAGAGAGAAGAAACTCCTCGACCATCACCAAAATTCTACCCAACTTCCACGGGACGCCAGAATTATGCCCGACTTCCACGGGACGCCAAAATCCTGCCTGACATCCACGGTATGTCGAAGTTCCGCCCAACTTTCAAGTGACGCTAAAACTCCGCCTGATCTCCAAGTAACATCGGAATTATGTCTGATCTCCAAGTGACCCAAAACTCCGCCTGATCTCGTTGTAATCGACTGCAAATAATAGTGGATTCATTCAAACTGGGCTAGGCCCCGTTGTTTTTACCCCTTTTTCAGGGGTTTTTCACGTAAAAATCTTAGTATCTCATAAATGCTACACTCTCTCTTATATGATTGCGTGCCGAATTTTCATACAATGCTAAGACGCTAAATTTTATGTTTCTCTACTGCTACGAATACTCCAGGACGCAACAATAATGATAATAAACAGTAATAATATTGTCGCGGATTAAGTATAAGTACTTATTTTATAAATCGAGATATTTAGGTCATAAGTTGTTAAATAACAAAAACTTATTTCTATAGCTATTGTATTTATCGTCATACTTGGGTTTTGTTTGGGACAGCTTTCTTAATGCTTCATAGAACAATTTTTTAGTATATAAATTAAGTTTAAAAAAATTATTAAGAATGCTGTCCCAAACAAAACTTCAAATCAAGAAAAACTTCTTGCATGTACCAAAATGTAAAGCCTCTTATTTTTTAGATATTTTAGTGAATTAAATGAAAACTCAAATACATATCACATACAAACTTCAAACTCAAAACTTCTTCATAACATAAACTCCCAACTAATAGATTAAAATGAGCTGCATATGTAAAGCCAAATCATTGGCCCAAAGAACTTTACATTAATGATTTATTTCATGACTGAAATTATTTCTAGAAGTTCTAAACAGATAGTGAAAAAAATCAAAATTCAAAGCTAGTCACTTTTTAAGATTGCAAATGTGCATATACATATAGAGCTAGGGGTGTCAATTTCGGGTCACAAGTCAAACCCGGAATTGACTCGGCTCTGTTCGGGTCAATCAGAAACCGACCCATTTTTACAAATGGATCGATTTTCCGGACCGGACCCCGACCCGCTTCGTGTTCGGGTCAACCCGACACGACCCAAAAGCAGGTTGTCGGACGTGAGCGGTGAGATGCCAATGGTCGGGCATTCAAGAGAGCCAGGGACAACTAGACGCCTGGACCTAGACGTATGTTCCAAGCACGCAGGCAACCGCAGAAAGCTAGGCACGCCCACAAGCGAGCTTGGAAGCATTCATTGGGACCTAGATGCGACGCACGGCGATGCAAGCAAGCAGGGCATGCGCGGTCACGCGGTGGGCAGCCTGACCCGAGCAAGCAAGGATAACGCGTGAATGGCCTCGGGCAGCGGCGATCACACGGGCAGCTCAATAAGCGAGTCAATCCAGGTTATTTCTAGGTTTCCAGTTCAACCCGAACCCGATTCGATTTTCAAAACGAATCGAAAACTCTAACCCAAACCCGACCCGGTTCTAGTCAACCCAAACCCAAAATTTCCATCTTGTGTTCTGGTTGGATTTTCAAATCGTGTCCAATATTGACACCCCTATCTGGAGCTGAGCAATCACTAACTTCATCAGAATTTTGAAGAATTCACTCAATTATTGGAAAAAAATAAGATAAAATCAAGAGAAAATTACTAACCACGTGAAAAAAGTGAAAAAACAAGATCAGATCAGACCAAACTGATAGTTCCAATAATAAGCTGAAAAAAAATTCACTCACATCAAAATAATAAATACTTCAATTAATAATCAAAATGATCTCTGACTATATTAAACGGTCAATTTGACCCCATAGTCTTTAAAAAAAATTAAAATAATCCTGAGACAGAACTATTCTAATTCCTCTTTTAAAGAATTGAGATATCAAAATAATCGTTTAATATAATTGAGCATTATTTTGATTTTTTTATTAAGAGCCAAAAGATCATTTTGATATTTTCCATCAGTTAATATGAAAGGGGGGACACTAAAAACAACGTGGAGCTCTAAAAATAACAAGCAAATCATTATTTTATCAAAATGTGCCTTTATGCAACAGGTAATCATTTTGAACCAGAGAACTTGCGGCCTGTAATCCTCTCGGACTCATGAAGAATATGGTTGATAAGGCCTCTGGCAGCACTGAACATTTTAAAGTAGGATGAAATTAGAAATGTGAAAAATGCTGATTTGGATACGAAGAACAAAGGAATCTACAAAATAGTGAAAGATAATTACTCGTCCTTCAGTTTCTGGATCTTCACTGGATCAGTCTCATGCATGTTCTTCTTGAATTGCTGCCTCACCATATCAACAACAAGCTTTGTATTGTGTTGCTGCGGAAATTATGGTAAATATTCACAATTTCGTAGTTGAACTATGTAAAGTTTTAAGAACAAGCCTAATTGCTCATGCAACTAAAGCCTATTGTTTATATCTACAAGTTTCCTGAACATGAATAGAAGTGCAGTTTAGCAAATGAACAATGCCGATCCATTGAAAATAATTTCATAAACACATAAAAATAATAAAAGAACAATTAATCTTTCTTATTTAATAGGAAAAATTTTAGGCCAAGATGTCCTCACTCAAATTGGATCCAACAGTCATTAAATTTATTTTGAAATGGGTGCAATAAAAATTTATTTAATTGCTCAAGTATTGCACATTTCAAAGTTAATCCAACAATTTCGTTAAAGGAACATTGAATCACACAATTCATAAGAAACAGGATTAGAACCATGGACAAAGGAGAACTGTGCTTTGGAGTGCCAGAGTATGCCCATGCAAACTCCTATTTGGGTTACATATAATTCCTGAAATAATTGTATCATAAAATTTCTTAAGAGTGCATCTAGAAGCTATTTATCTTTAAAGTTTCCCTCAAACAAATTTATTTTCTAATATAATAGAGATTGAAGCATGATCATTACAATACTAATTAAAGCTTATATACCTTCAATCTTATATATTGTGAGTGATTCATTTGTTAGTGCTTGCTTTTACTTGGGCATGTTATAATATTCAAGTTTGATCTTTTATGGAAAAGCATATGATATTTGTTGACCTCTAAGTATTAGCCAATATAACAAAAAAAAAGAGAGAAAGCAGCTCACCTCATATCCCGTCGGATCCACATATCCCGCTGAAAACCTCCGCAAATCCTGCCCGAAATCCCGCCGAGACATTGTGCAATAGCGCCGAATCGGTCACCTCCCGTAAATCCCCCGCAGAGCATCGAACGATGCCCTTCGACGCCTTTAAAACAACGACCAAATGAAGCCTTCTGGTGATTCTCCACTCTCTGCTCCTTCCCATTCCATTCGACTTCTCCCACACGACCGAACTTCCGTCCCCTCCTCTCTTCCCCGTCACTGCTCCGAAATCCCTCCTCTGTCGAGCTCCGACCTCCAAAGCCACAACCGAACTCCTCCCGAGCCTGACTTCGCACCCCCTATCCCGATCTCCCTCTCTAGCCCGACGTCCACCTTCCCTGAGCCCGTCGACCCCTTCTCCTCACCTGTCTGATCCACTCGATCCACAGAGAGAGAGAGAGAGAAAGAGAGAGAGGGAGGAAGACATACCTAGCCGAGAGCCTTCTTGCCGCCGTCC